CCCATTCCGCCCTCGATCGCCTACAACTCGAAAGCACCAAACATGTAAAATTTTATTGCGATTAATCCAATAGTTCCAGAGATACCGAATTATTTCCAAAAATAAAAGTTTCTAAACCACTGTGTAAAGGTAACATTGCCAAATCAATACCGGTATTACAACTGTTTCAATACTGATATCTTGCCTCTATTTCCATTAAAGTGGTAGAAATTGAATACTTATATATTTTCCACCACACTTTTATAATGCAATGGTTTAAAAAACACTGGTTTGTAAATGTAATGAAATAATGAGTATTCATCTTACAAGATTTATTTTTGATAATTGATTCATATCATAGTTTGAAGAATTAGTTTAATAGGATTTTGTTTTATGTTCAGATAACCAGTAAATAACATGATGATAGTTTCAATTTCTTCCTATGTCAACCTGATTAACCATCTGACAATAAAGGCGATTTGAAGTTTATGTTTAAAATAATGCTACCATATATTAAAAAAATTTTCTTATGTGTACACATTTCAAATAAAAAATATTTTAATTAAAAATTGAAATTTTTGTTATAATTTTAACAAAAAACGACATATTTGGGCCTGAAATTCAACGAATACAAGAAAGTCGAAAGTGTTGAAATGACTGCAGCCACTTCGATGTTGCAACAACATGGAAAACCATTTGGAATCTCACAAATCTCGAAATACATACATACGTATTCATAGGTACTAATAGGTAATATCAGTCCGCGGTTTCACCTAACCCTTATACAAATTTACTTTTGGAATGCTGTTTAACAAGTTATAAGCTCGTTATTTGCTTAATACTAGTTCTTAGTACCCATAGCTTCTCCCGAGGGGCATGTTACCTTGATGATATATCCCGAAGTCAACATATACTACACAGAGGAGTGTCTGTGGGACTAAGCGTTAAAAATGAGTCGGTGTTAAGTGATGATACGGGATGGATGTAGGGGTATGCGGATCTCATTCGCCCGTATTCCTAGAGTGAGTCTGTCGGATGTTTTTTCTAATGAGTGTGTCAGAGAAGCTTATCCAGTGGTTGAAAAAGACCACCGTGAAATAAGCTAACATGGCAAGTGTTCATGTCAAGCACTTCGACATTAATTTGTACCCAGAATTTGGCCACAGTTTACCCTAGCCTCCAGAGAAGGTCCTTTTTACGTGTCGATTATGTATGACCAATTAGAAAATAACTTGCACGTTAATAATTAACATATAATTATTAATATCCCGATTCCTAATACTTTAAATTGACAATAACAAAAAGGTATTAAAAAAAACGAAAAGTTGTTTATAAAAGATTTTTAAATGTAATAACTTGAGGGTTGCATAAAAATGTGCTTTTGATCTACATAATGTGTAAAATTGGCAAAAGCTTCTAAATACTGTTATAATTAGTTAATTTTTATAAACTGCACATATTTGTTTAAAAATTTCTTAAAGTATTTAACCCTTTTCCTAAATGTGGCAACGTTTTCCTTGAATATTTCCAAAAAATTAAACTTCAAATATCTCCTTTCTTGTCAGAAAAATAAAATTGAAACAACCTTCTATTTTTTAAATCATGCTCTATGTCCCTATTTAGAATTTAATGCTTTATCGAAAAAAAAAACCATAACATTGGATTTCATGAGACTAAAGTGTTTTTTGCCATTTTCAAACTATGCAAACGAAATTTTTTCAAAATTGTAAAACAGCCATAAAAATTAAAAAAAAAAATAAATAAAATTTTAAAATTGAAGTTTTGAAAAAAATTAAATATACAAAAATTAAATAATAAATTACAAAAATTATAGTTTGGTACAAAACTTCAAAATATAAACTAAAAGAAAATTATTCCTTATAATATAGAAATTGACTAATTAATAATTAGGTTTTATGAATACAGCTATAATTTAAAAATGCATTACATTTTACATTTTAAATTTATGTTTTTAAACAAATGCATTTATTAATATAATAATATAAAAATCTTATATCTATTTTACATTCTAAATATAATATACATAAGAGTTTAACATATAAAAGTTTTCCATACTAAGCCCGCTAATTATCAGATGCATTACTTCCTAATTATTATTTCCTGATGATTCTTTCTTTTTGTTTACGCACATTGCTTGAAAATGTCGCTTTTTAACTAATTTAAAAGCATGCCTAATCTCTTTTTCAGGATTTTCTTCTCCGTTGGCACGAATTGAATCTACCAAATGAAACAGATAATAATAATTGATAAATGCCAATAAAAAAAACAAGTAAGATTTCCATATTCTGCTGTGTCGATTTTTATACACCATTCACCACGATGTGTTTAAAAAATGTGAAACGAAAAAAGTACCAGAAAGCCCCCTTTTATAGAATTTCATTCAACCAAAAAGTACCAATCATAGAACAAAAAATCCTTTTCTACAGATTTTCATTAACTTAGGACTCTAAGGGCCAATATTTAGGTGAAATATTAGCGATTAAATTAAGATTAATCCTCGAATGATGTTTTTGAGTACTCAATTAGTTAATTTTGTTTGCAAGTTTAAGCGCCCAATGGAGGTGGTTTAAACTTAAGCACGAAATGCAAAAGTGTAAATAGCTGATGCAAAATATTAAATTTACAATTGTCTTCTTCTTTTTTATAAAATATACATTGTTTTGATAACAAACAGTGACGTTTTCTGTTGTTTTGTATGGCAACACTGCGAAATTTAATCTTGTACTCAAAAACATCAAAGGAGATTAACATTGGATTAAATTTATTTTTAGATTAACTAATCTGATTGTTAATTGGCATTTGATTGCCATCTCATAAACCCGCTCTAAGGCCCATTATTATAACTTGGCAATAACTAATTCCGATAATTTGTATCTCGTTATTATATTTATACGGGGAGATAAGCTGGCGGAAAGGTCTCCGTGTGCTTTACCGATGTCCTTTAACTAAAGTTCAATTAAAATGACTAGAAATTAATTATCTGCAATCCTACCTTTAGTTATTGCCAAGTTGTTATAATTGGGATTAATGTTTAATTTTTTTTTTTTGCATGCACCATATTTTTGATGAAATTTTCAGAGGTTTCACGGAATTTTGCTCATATCTCCGTTATTTATGGATCCATTTTGCTGATTTTAAATAGCGTTCTTCCCAAACGCACGTCTGATATAATATATATATATATATATATATATATATATATATTGAATATTCGGATCTCACAGATATATGGGGTCTTCTGAAAACTGGTTTCAACATACACACAAAATATATCCGACTCCGCTATCTATAAGGACTAGAAATATTTTGGGAACCATCATAAAACTAAACAAAGATTTTTTGAAACTGGGTAAAATATTGAACTGAACATTAAAAATTGTGTCCCCCATAGGATATTTTCTTGAAAACTGCCCAGCTCACGAACGGACAACACTAAACCCAAAATATTTTGGGAAACATCATATGATATAACAGCGAATATTTTGAGGGAAATGATAAACTTATACATCTTATCACGAAGGTGAAGGGTATAATAAAGAAAATAAATATTTTATTTACCCATTAAAATATCATAAAGTCTTTTAAAACTTTTAAGCGAAACTTTGCCATGTACTCCATCGATATTTGATGCAACAATTAAATTAACTGAAAAAATTGCCGTAAGCGATTTATGAAGTTGTCCTTTAAGTAGAGATGACATACAGCGAATCTAAAATAGTTTATTTGGATAAAACTTATAAAAAACATCGCGATAAAATAACAAAATTCTTACGTAAGCTGTACGATTTGCTTCATTTATTTTGGCATTACAGTCTTCTAACTCATCTGCAGTCTGAATTGGAAAGACTTTTCTAATATTTGCCTCAACTTTATCATTGCCTAATGACCTTTCTGTCAACTCTTTTTGTGTGGCAAGTGTTTCCATTACTACAATATTTTGTTGCACAATATTGGCTGCATTTGCAATGAGAAAATTAATTCGATTTATTAAATCACTTTAAATATATATTTTATGTTAGTACCTGTCAACTCCTCGATAGAACTTTTTAGTTGTTTAACGGATTCTGAAAATTAGAAATAAAAATTAATGTTACCATAATTATAATTACATTGTCTGTATATCTTAATAACAAACCTGTTAATTGCTCAAATTTTGCATCACACAGCCTTTTCCATATTTGACAACATTGGGTTGCATTTGGATTGTCTGTGGATTAAACCATGTTTTTAAACAGATTTATATAATACTATGTATATTTCAATTACTTACCATGTAGGATTAAGTTTTCTCCAAATTGGTATCTTTTAGTTTTTGGATTATTGTTTTCCTTAATGTGTTATAAAGAAAATATGGAAAATTGTTTCAATATTAAAGAACTTCCTTTTTAATAATATGTACATATAATATTTGTTTACACATTAATTTTGAGTGAGCAAATAATCAACTTGATTTTGAACTAGCTCATAAGAATCCCATTTGTTTCATAAGAAACCATTAATATTATTTTTAATTCTCATAATGCTTGTGTTTTCACTGAAGCATTTTCCATTATAGATATCAGAATTTTTCACTAAAGTTATCTCTATGTCGACCCGTTTTTTTATATACATATTTTTCATTATTTATATTCTATGAAACTGTATTGTTTTTATTACTACTTGTGATCAGATATCAGCTTTGTGAACATATGAGGATTTATGTATTTAAGTACTCTAGAGTACACAGGCTCCGAAAAATACAAAATGAAATCTGTAACAATTACATTTAAACAATCATTCTTGTTTAAGAAATTGTCCAACATTTCATTCAATTTTTATTTTAATTAAAGATTATTATTTAATTTTTTCTTAATTTTTTTTTTCATTTTTAGATGACTAGGTATAATTTAAATGTGCTTAATTTTCCCCCAATATTTTATGAATTATAAAAAAAAACTTAATCATCATGTTTTTAACCTGATTTGTACCAACAAAAATTGTAATATTTTTTCATAACTTACCTCTTCATCATCTATATGTATTTCAGTTTTACATATCGAATTATCCATATTATCATCAACTATAGTTTGAATTGGTGTGTCGTAATCTATTTTCTCATTCTTGATAGAACATTCTAAAGACAATGCACTTGTTGAATTATCATCTTCCAAAGGATCATTAATTGAAACTTGATTAGATTCATCGGGCTAAAATAAAAATTTTGTAAATTTAATATTTATTTTTTGTAAATTTTGTAACAAATGTGTATGCATTACAAAAATTATCTTATACAAATTTATTTATAAATTAAAAATTTTAAGGACAGATAGATAGATATATAAAACTAAACTTAAGTTTTTAAGGATTTAAACTATTATACTTGTTAACGGCCTTATACGTAATGAACGAGCTGCTGTCTGTGTAAATTTCCATAAGAGGAAGATTTTTAAGCCAATAGACTCTAAGGGTCTACGAGTGTTGTGTGTACACACAGATCCCTCCTAAACCAAAATTTTAAACGAACTAAATATCTGTGAAAATTCCTATAAGGCACAGATAGCAGCTCGTTACTTAGTAGTTGTTTTTTTATTATGAATAAGACCCAGTGTTTTAACAAATTCACCTCTTTACTAAAAGTTGTGGTTTCATTTTCTTGTAAATCCTCAGAATTGTCATTCTGCATGTTGTACATTTGTAATTCATTTTCATCCTTATTCATTTGTAGGGCATTTATTAAGTCTTCATCATGTTCCTTTTCCATATGATTGATGAATATGTCCAATTGTAAACAAATTTGAGGACAATACAAACAATTTAGAGTATACACTCTTTTGTCCATTTGAGTGTAGAATGTTATTTCTCCACATTTTCTATTCAAGTTGCAATAACTTTTACTTGCTAGTGTACATTTTCTAATAGATTTTTTATTATTTTGATTGGTTGACGAATGTTGAAGAGTTGTCATTTTGAAAATGTTGAATTGCTATTTTTATTTTGAATTACTATTATTATTTAATTATAATATTCAGATTTCTGTTTATTTTTCAACAATAATAACAACTTGAAAAAGAGTTTGCTATCATAGATGCCATATAATTTGCAGACAAAATCGTCAAATTAACAAAATAATATTTTTGTTTTAAAATCTGGCAATAGTAAGTATTTATAAAAATCCAAAGTTGCACTAATTAATTTATTTTCTTTATGTTTTTACTTAAGTTTAAAAAGATAAATATTTATATTTTTATCAGATTACACTTCATTTGATACAGCTTGATATTTGGTAATGTTTCATTAATATCATTATAAAGTATTATTAATTTAATAATATTTAAAAAAATAAACTTTTTATAAATTAAATAACGCCGTTAAACACAACGACAGTTCTCTATTGGTGCAGTATGTTTAATCCTCGAATATATGACAAACTGTTATATTGTTAACCTCAGAGTTGTTATAGTTTGTTATTGTTTTGAAGACGTAAACATAGATTTTTTCAACTTGATTGTTTTTCCAAACAAAAGTGGTAATAAAATGGATTTTAAATCCAAACAAGGATCTGTATCCTTGGATAAATTTAATAAATGTGGTGAGGTTTATAGATCACCAGTTATTAGTGACAAACAATACATGTTTTTATCATGTATTTATTGTAAAGATATATCTTGGGAATTGGAAGACTTCATGCAACATCTGGATAATGCCCATCAATCCTTAGATGATAATTCATCAAATATATATAAAGAGGAGGAGCTTAACGAAGATAATTCAATAAATAATGAAAATATTGCAGCATTAACAATTGAAACAAATACAGTAAAAGGAATTACATCTAGCATTGGTGAAAATGTAATATTGTTAAAAGTTGTTTAGGAGTGTTTTGTTAAATATGTAGATATTGTAATTTTTAGGATCCTTTAGATGAACAACATTATGATTATAGTGATCTTTTACCGACGGCTATCAAAGAGGAACCTTCTGAAACTAATGAAAACGATGGTAATAACCTAAACACGGTTGGTAAACTTGATAATAATAATGATGTTAATCAAGGCAATGAGATTTTAGAAATATATCCGTTTGAATATGATGACAATAGCAGTGATGAAGATTATGAGGTAAAAACAAACATATAAATTTATTAAATTAATTGCCATTCTTCATAAAGAAACCTTTACAATTTATAGCCAGATAAAGTCAGCACTGATGATAATGATGATAATACCGAAGAATACCTAAATGAGGAGTCTGACCAAGATAACGAGGATAATAATGATGACGACGAAGATATTGAATTATTGGATGCAAATATTGAAGATAATAAGAAAACTAATCTAAAACGTTTTACCAAAAATCGTGAATTTATTAAAGCAGTTATAAATGCCTATCAAAAGCAAAGTCTTTTATGGGACATGGAATATAAAACCAAGAAACGAAGTTCGCCAGAAAAACAAAGAGCACTTCAAATTATATTAAAGGAAATTAATGATAAATTTGAAATTAGTGCAACACAGCAACAAATAGAACGTATAATAAAACGTCTTAAGTTGAGATTTATACATTATTCGCGTTTAATAGATAAGGGAGAAACGTATAAACCTTTGTGGTTCTATGATTTATTGAAATTTTTAGAACCTCATTTAAAGGATAATAAATTGGTAAGGAAAATTGAGACGGAAGAAGAATTTTATAGTTAAAAATTGTAAATTATATGCAAACTATTATTTTCCCCTTATTTTTCAGCGAAGCGGTATTTGCAAACAATTAAATGATGAACAATTTCTTACATTACTTAAGCTATTTAGAGAAAATGAATGTTTTTGGAATGAAAACAATATTTATCATACATCCGTTATAAATAAGCAAGAAATTTTAAAAACAATAACCAATGATTTTTCAAGACTTTATGAATTAAAAGATTTCAATATTGATATTATGCAAAATACAATAGAGGAAATTATAGAAATGGCTAGAGAGGAGAATACGAATAAGATGCGTTATATGGCAAGTAATAGTAAGGGACCCTATCAATCCACTAATAAATTTTACAAAGAAATGGAATTTTTATTGCCACATGTGGGTCCCTTTAAATGTAATTATTGTCCAAAAACATTTACGGATATTTACGCCTATAAATTTCATATATCAAGACATGAAGGCACCAAACCGTTCCAGTGTATGCTATGTCCGCGTGAATTAACGCACAAAAAAGAATTTGTTTGTCACTTGAGGCGACATACGAAAGAGTGTCCTTTTCAGTGTAATGAATGTGATAAATCTTTTCCCAGCAAAAAGGAATGGCATCGACATGTTATAAAACATGGCTCTAAACCTTATGTCTGTGAGCTTTGCGCCGATAGTTTCTATACCCAACATCAGCTAACCAATCACATGAAAAATCATAACAATATACGTGATCATGTGTGTCCTGAATGTGGCAAAGGCTTTACACATCGCGGATTGCTAAGACAACATTTGCAGACCCACAACAAAACGAAATGTTTATGTACTCTTTGCGATAATATCTATTCAAATCCGCGTAGTTTACGCAAACATTATGTAAGAGTACACGAGTCCGGACAAGAACCCTCGGCTGCTTCTATGGCTCAGTATAATTGTCAAATATGTAAAATAACATTTCCCTCTATACAAGACGCCAAACAACATCGGAAAGAGCATAAACAAAGTAATCCTGCTGAACGTAAACATGTTTGTGATATATGTGGTCATCATTTTGCTTATCCCAGAAATTTGGCCGATCACAAAAAGACCCATTCAAATATACGGGATCAAGTATGTGATGTGTGTGGAAAGGCTTTTACCAATACTAACTTATTGAATCAACACAAAAATGTTCATACGGGAGAGAAGTTTGTGTGTAAGGCTTGTGGTAAAGATTATGCTCACTATCGGGGTCTATGTCGACATATAACAAAAGCTCATGGTACTAATATCCGGGATTTGGATGCCTTGTTGGAGAAGCAAAAACTGACAGCAAATACACAGTAATTAAACTAATTATAATAGTAAGGTATAAAATAACTATTTTTTTATTTTATAGATTTTTTTGTAAATTAAACTATTCAAATATTTGTTATAAAATATCTCTTTTAAATTCTCTTAAATTTAGCAGGTCCTAAATTAACTTAGGAAAAGTTTAGGAATTATTACTTATGTATATGAAAAGGCTTATTTTTACATATAATTTTTAATTTTAAACACGTCCTCGTGTTTAATATAAATAAAAATAATTTTTAATCATAATTGCTTGTCTTTATAAAAATTTGTTTTTTTCTTACAAATGAAACCCCAGTTAAAAGTGAGGAAAGAGATGTGGAAAAGTCAATACAAATAACCTATTTGAAGTACATCAAGATTTGAAAAAGTAGTGAAATTTACATTAGCGTGTCATTAAGAGAATATGTTTTATTTTTGACATCCAATTATCGGATTTTTACTGCTTCTAAAAATAAGATTAGATGTAGTTCAAAGTTGCCAAAAATGAACAACATCCCTCCAATGACACGCTAATGTAAAATTCATAGGTTTTACACCCGAATTTGAAGCACTTCGGGTTACTAGTTGTGATGAAAATACTAAATATTTTTCCACACTTTTTTTGCTGGGTGGTTATGCATTGCTACCACATTAGTTGAATGATACGCTGGCTCAAGGACGATGCCTATTGAAAATGGTTAAAATCGGTATAATATTTCATACTATTTCTTATAAACATAATTATAGCGAAGAAATTCAGCAGAAATAAATAATATACGAATATAAAACTAATTACAAAATTTTATCGGGATTGGTCCATATTTCCCCTAGCCCCTATATAATGACTCTTTCAGAAAATTTGTTTTTCGTCCATATATTACTTAAATGTATCGGAAACAATGTAATATTAAATATAAATGCTGTATATGAAATATCAATCACATTCAATATTCATAACTGGTGTAGGGTATCATATGGTCGCCCATGCCTAACTATCTTACTTGTTTTAGAATTTATTCGAATACAATTCAAATAAACTCATATCTAATTACAACATAAAAACAACAACACTATATTCAAACGATTGAAGTATAACAGTTAGGAATTTCTTGTCAAACACACAAACACTGAACATACCTTTGGAAAGGAAAAGCAATTTCTTGTTTTTCTTATTAAAAACTTTACAAACTATTTTTACAGCAAAAAATTAATTAATTTAATATAACTAAAAATGACTGCATTGAGTTTAACGAATTATAATACATATTCAAATTATAAAAAATGTGGAGAAATATTACAATCTCCTATTATAGGAGAGAAACAATATGCCCTGTTGTGTTTGCAATGCCATGAAATTTGTTTACAATTTCAAACATTTATGATACACATAGAACAGGAACATGAAAACTCCTATCTAGATGTAAAGACCAAGGAGGAAAATAAAGACTTTAACGAGGAGGATGACATTGTGCTCAGTGAATACGGTAAAACCGATAATGAAGAGGATGAGGATAAAAAGGTGCTACTTTGAGGCATTGTTTTATGTATTGCCCATGAAATGTTTAAAGTTTTTCCCATTTTTAGGATTTCCTTATGGATCCTTTAGAAGAACCCGAGGTGTTATTGATTAAAAATACACCTTTGAAAGAAAAAGATCAAGTGTGTAGCAGCAGACAAGTTGCACAAGAACCAAAACGAAAATCTCAACATAAAAAATTACAAGAAAAAGATGTTAAACAGGAACCTCTTGATATTGATTGTAAATCATATACTGATGGTACAATTACAAATGAAATTGAGGTATTTATTATTCAGTGGTAATAGTTTATAGAGAAAGTTCTGAAATTCACATTTGAACGTGATTTAAAAAAAATATAGTATTTGTTGGTAAAAGTTTAAACCATAAACGATATTCCAGGAAAAGATCAGATAACCAGAAAATTTAGAACCAATTTTATTCATTTAATTGCATAATTTAGCATAATAATGCAACAAATATTATTTTTTTCAGTTTGTAAACTCAAATGTGCATAGCGATGAAGATGAATTGGATATCGGGGATTTGGAGGATAAGAAAGAGAAATTAATTAAAATTACAAAAATAGATGATAATGATGAATACTTTGACGATGAATATATAAGAGATGATGATGACGAAGATGAGGAAGAAGAATTTTTGGACGAAGTAAAAACACCGCCAGCTAAAAAGTCCAAAGTTAAAATGGACGATGGTCTAGATATTGATGAGTTTATGCAAAATAAAATGAAAGTAATATTATTTATTACTTCGTATCAGAAACAAGATGAATTATGGGATGCAACCAGACCACCAAAATTAGTAAATCGATGTCGAAAGAAACGTGAGGAATGCTTAAAAATCATCTGTGATGAATTGGAGAAAATGCAAATTCAAATGACCACAAAAGATGTGGAGAAATGTATAAAATACATGAGAGTACGTTATATACGCGAGGTGCGTATACGTATGAATTATATAAAAAATAAAGATAAAGACTATAAGCCTTTGTGGTTTTATGATCAGTTGGAGTTTTTAAAACCCACATTAAGTTTCATACAAGAGGTAATATTTCTAACTACATATAAGTAAAAATTAAAAAATGTGAAAATCTTGTTTTATATTCACAGCTAGAGGAGGAGCAAATGTTGGCTAAACCCGAATTAAAAGATGAGCAAATCATTACCTTAATTGATATTTACAAAACACATCCCTGTTTATGGGATGAACAAGATATTTACTATAACTCTGATCAAAGGCGCCAAGAAACACTGCAAACCCTTTTAAGAGAAGTCAATGAAAAATTGCAATCAAACTATACTTTAGCCGAGCTGGAGGAAAAAATCGAATTTATACACAAACTGGTGAAAAAAGAAAAGGAGTATATTATAGAATTTACCGCCAATAAACCAGTTGAAGAATACAAATCGTCGTGTAAATTTTATGAACACATTGAATTTTTATTTCAACATTTGGGTCCGTTTAAATGTCAATTTTGTCCCAAAGTTCTTTCACACATCTATACATTCCGTATACATACGGCCAAACACGATGGTTCAAAACCATTTAAATGCTCTGTTTGTCAATATGAATTCACGCAAAAGCCCGGTTACGTTATACATCTAAGACGTCATACTCAAGATTTTCCCTTTGTGTGTAAATATTGTGGCAAAGGATTTCCCTGTAAAAAAGAACTTAAATTACATTTTCAAAATCATCCAGAATATGAAAAGGAATTTATATGTGATATTTGTGGTGAGGGTTTTACCCAGCAAAAGCTTCTTAATTGGCATTTAAAGGCTCACAACAATATACGGGACTCAATTTGCAATGTCTGTGGTAAAGGTTTTACCAATTCGAAATTATTATTTCAACACCGTACCGTTCATAGTCAACAGAAGAGTGTGTGTAAATTGTGTGGTAAAACGTATGCACATTATCGCGGTCTATCGAGGCATATGACTAAAGATCATGGTACAACAGTTGCTGCTGTGGCAGCAGTAATGGGTGAAAAGCCGAAAAAAAGAGTTCTAACTTTAAATGAAATAAATTAAGATGTTTTATTTTTATTGTAGATATATAAACATAGATTGTAATATTAGTTTTATATGTATTATACTAAAAGGTTTATTTAAATTTAATTTTAATAAATTTATGGACAATTGTAATTTTTGGTCAGACAGAAAAAATTAAAAAGCGATCAGTTTCATTCAGTTTCAGATAATAATTTTTTTAACACAGCGACAAATGTATACTCTTCTAAAGGATCGATCTGATATCAGAATTCGAAATCAGTGCAGCTCTATAGATTAGAGAAGTAGGTACGTCTTCATTTTGTTGAATCATACAATATTTCTAGAAAGTTGCGATATTTTATTAACAAAGTATCTTCATATCAGAGGTTTTCTTTACTAAATTTCCGATTTACGCCAATGTAAATATTCTTGCCCAAAGCCCTACTACGTTCCACTCTAAACTACCAATAAACACAAATACATAATATGAACTTAATACGTTAGACAATCATTTTTATTGATACATGTAAATCTATAGTATGTAAAGTAAAATCTTAAAATTAGAAAAATGTCCAGAGTCGCCTTAAAAATCTTTCAGCACACCAAACGGTAAGAAATATAACGACCAGCAGTTTCTGACGAACGGATGATCTTTACAACTTGTCCACGTTTTAAACCAAAATACCTAGCCACTGGATCACCAGCTTGAATTCTCATCAACATGTTCTCCTTTAGTTTATAACGTGCCAACAATTCTTGCTTTTCCTCGGGCGTCATCACCACATGTTCGGGTACCAATTCATGTTCCGTGATATTTATCAATAGTTCAGATTCTAAAAATTGTTCTAAAATATATTTAGGTGCCATATCGACCAAAGATTGTTTGGCTGATGGTGTCATGCCGGCCTGTACCACCACAATGGCACGGTGTATATTTTCTTCCTGCATACGGGTACAATAGGTCTTAATCGTTTTAATACCAATCTTAGGCTCGTCGGGAAAGAAGACAAACATTTGATCCGTGGGATCATCGTTATGGGCAACTAGAACAATTAGATCCGAACGTGCTGGCCTCTTTTCACTTGGCTTGTCACCAAACATTTCTTTGAATTGTTCCAATGTTTGATCCAATTCATCTTGTGTGACCAAATAACCACGATCGTGGCTCAGCTGCATAATTGTTTTGCGGATACGCCACAGTTTGTAGGTTTCAGCTTCATCATCCATGTTTTATAGGATATATTTAATAATAACACGAATTAAATTTAACAATTGTAAAATAAATCGAGAAAAATCACACTTTCATCAACACGCCGCGCCAGAGCCCTGCGCCGACAAATATTAACGGCGGCGGCGACTGACACTAAATATGTCGGCGGCGGCTTAAAATCGACTGTAAGCCGGCTAAGTTTTCAACTACGTTTATTTTTTTTTTAGTTGCATGAGAAATTATGCATGGATGAATAAAAAATTCTTAAAAATTAAAAACAAATCCTTTCTCCAAGTTTTACTAGGATCTGCCGATATTTAACCCTATCTTCTATATAAAACATCTTGCAGAAAATCAGTTTCTAAAAAATTTTGCATTAAGAAAATGATCAATAACGTAAAAGATATTTTATTTGTTTATTTACTAGCTATACCCAGTGTGCTGTGCTACCCTAAAAGCAATATAAATAAGAATCCTACTTAACAATTTTGATGATTCTAACTACAATGGTTTTCCAGATATACAATTTGTTACATATGGGAGATTCCACGCAAATTATTGCAATTTCGCCAATTATTCCGAACGTTAATTAAGATTTTAATTTAATCTATGAAAAATTTGAATAATCTAATAGTTTCCAGATATACAAAATTTTGTATTTAATTCATATGGGAAGTGCCAAGCCCCCCATTGAAAGTCCGCCCGTTATTCTCTAAATGTTCTTCAGTAAAATTTGAAGATTCTAGCTCTAATAGTCTCTCAGATATACGAATTTTTCTATTTAATTCATATGGGAGCTCCAAGCCCCCCAGATGAAAGTCCGCCCTTTTTTCTCCAAAATGTTCAGATGAATATTAAAGTTGTTCGTGCAAAATTTGAAGAATTTAGTTATATTAGTTTCCCAGATAAACGAATTTTTGTATTTAATTCATATGGGAGGTTCCGCTCCCCTCAATGGTAGTCCCCCAGTTTATTACCCAAAATGTTTACATGGATGTTAAAGTTCTTCCAGAACAACATCATTTAAAGTGATCACAAAGAGATTGAAAAATATTCCAAAAGTTTCACTTTGAAAACATTATTAGAATGTATGAAAACTCGCAACTCTAAAGGAAGACTATTCCTATTTTAGTGGTATTTTATGATTAAAATAAGTAAGAAGTAAGAGTTATATTAGGCAAATCATATGTCGTAAAAAAGCAAATTTCGGAAGTGGTCCGATCATTAGATTAATAAGAACGTCACCGTGATTTTCGGATTAGGGACTTAAATGTAGAATTGGATCAATAATATATATAATTTAAAGTATTTTTTTTAATTCTACCATAATTCTATCATAATGATAACTTTTGGAATGATGTATTAGCTATAAACTGATTTTCTGTAAGAGGGTTATATTGGCGGACCGATCCTCATAATTTTATTTTTCATAAATGTGGGTTTCGGTTCCTAAAAATGTTTATTTCGTCGACATCGACATTTGAAAGCCATTTATGTGCGTTTAAGTCATTTTCTGAAGAAGATTTCATTGCATATTTTCGTTCCAACAAAAATTGTTTTATTATGGTATTATTAAGTACGTAGAAAACGTTAAAATCAATTATTGAAGGGGGCAGGGTCAACTATGGCCTATAGAGATTTCGATTGATATCGAGCCCTTTTTGCAAAATGGACGTAAGCGAGATAAATTTTCGTTCAATTAGGATACTGCGTGTTTAATTTTATGTTTATATATTCAATATTTTAGAAAATTCAAAAAGTACCAGTTAAAGAACGAAAAATAACCAGAAATACTCCAGTTTAAATTTTCATTCACTCAAGTCCCTGATTGCTTAGTTTTATGTACAAGTACAAGAACGTACAAGTTGAAGAACGAAAAAGTACCAAAAAGTCCCGTTTTATATGTTCTCACTTACTCCATGTTCAATATTATAGAAAATTCAAAAAATACCTTTTGAAGAACGAAAAAGTACCAAAAAGTTCCCTTTTATATGTTATTACTTAATCCGGGCTGTACATTCCTAAATTCATGTTTCTAGGTTCAATATTATAAAAAATTCAAAAAGTATCAGTCGAAGAACGAAAAATAGAAAACTCAAAAAGTACCTTTTGAAGAACGAAAAAGTACCAAAAAGTCCACTTTTATAGATTCTCAAGTTCTAAGTCAAAAAAGTACCAGTTGCAACATCGTATTGGGAGCCCGTTATTATGTATTCATATGTATAAGTTAATAAACCAAAAACAATGTTTTATAAAAAAGTATCAAAAATAGGTACAATTTTCACCCCTTAAACATCCGAATATCCAAAAAGTACTAAATTTATATTTTTATTTGTTCGTCAAGTTATGAAGGATTCAAAAATATTTTTTGAATGTTCTCTGGTTTAAAAGATACATGGGGTGCAGAAGAAGTACCAAATTACAGTTTCTACCCGTTAATTCCCCAAAGGGGCCGAATTTGAAAAAAGTACCAGACACCTGCCCGCTTATTTTTTAAATGAACGACGATAAGCTTTAAACTGTTTTTGTATCTTTTATAGTTTAGGATCATTCGAATTTCCAAAAATCCCGTCTAAGTGGATCTATTTTATGGGAGACCAACCTCTTGTCTAAATTTCAGCTCTTTAGCTAAAACCGTTTAGGCTCTACGATGATGAATCAGTCAGTCAGTGTCAGTAACGTTAGAATTTTATATATGTATTATGTATATAGATTTCGTGCATTGAATTATACTGTAAAAACATTGTAATGTTCGACTTGAATTCAAGTTTCGTTTTCACTGGAGAATGCTATTGAATTAAAGTGTATTTCAACACTTGAAATTTGAATGTTTGACTGGAATTAAAATTGTTTTAAACTTTAATTCCAGCAAGAATGCTTATTTGGTATAGTGTGACAACTATAAGGGACCTAAAGTCGACATAAAGCCCACAATGGTTAGTACCAATATTTTGCCCAAACAACATCTACATACCTAGCCAGGTTATATCCTCTAGGTCTGTGAAGACATTCTCTACAAAGCTATAAATTTGTATAAAAGGCGGCTTAACAATTGTTTCTTGTAAATATTCGGCCACCATAGTGTTTGGAGACAACAAGAGCTTCACTGAAAGGCACACCAGACAGACATCGCGCTCTATTATGGGTGTATGGTAGTGATTCTGCTGAGATCAATGGTATAATAATAAGTATGTATCCCAAGGATACCCCCTGAATACGGCAATCAGCTCACCACTAGCCGACCGACCACCACCCGCCTAGGTGACTAGGGAGGTATACAATCGCCACTCTCTTGTGGGCATTCTTCCAGGAGACCATCATGATGCCTCCTCTTTCTTGAAAAGAAAGACGTTCTTTATAGACAAATAAATAATTAATTAACACCATTACTTACATTTTTTAATCTTCTAGATCTCACAGATATGCCAAATCTAGATTTCAATAAACACTTTTGGGTATTAAACGAAAACAAACCCCGCCTGGAAAAACATTTTCATCATAGTTATTAACAATTTAACTAAATTAAACCCAACACTTGCTGTTTCTTTGCACAATGACCCTCGGTATAGTAGTATATAACATACATTTCAATTTTTAGTAAAACATTATTTTTTATTTAAAGAATATCATTTCTGTCATTTTAGATTTTCGCCCACACACAACAACAGATTTTTTGTGGCAAATAAAAAATGCAGAAAACAGCTTGGCGCGAAAAATTCTAGCAGAATTTCTTTTCGCAGTCGGCAGAATTGACATCAACTGCACTTCCCATTTGAAATACACATGTTCGATACCCTAGCCCTTTACGGTATGACATACCAGCAATGTAAAAAGGTGTAGCTCCGTTGACGCCAACGAAGCTGGTTTGAAGTCAAAGCAGCGACTCGAATTAGGCGCGAAAACACGAAAATATCTGAGGCGAAGCCTATACATCGAACGTTGAGCAAAGTTCTACACCGGCCAAATTTCAATGAGCGGCT